ATTTTATTTCACACAAAAACTGGCTAAAATATACATTTTAATCTTATGTTTATTTTGTATATAAAGTGAATTGAGAGTGCACTTGGAAACTACAAAGCAAAAAAGCGTATTTAAAAAAGTGCAAAATGACATCATTCAAACAATGCATTTAATTTTTATTTTAACAAATTTAGCAAATTCCTGCGGTTCTGGTGTAAAGCAGCAAAGATGTTGACAAACTCATCCATATTCAGCCCTGAGCCCTCCTTTACCCTACACTGAGGATACCAAGATGACTGAATCATCTGCCATGGTCGTTCTGAGATGGTTTTTAATAAGTTTTAGGCCAGAGAAACTTCTTTCACAAGACGCAGTACGGACAGGTATTAAAAAGATCTTTGCAAGTTAATGAAACACTTTCCAACTTTTCAAAAGGACAAGGAAGTCCAATAGGGACTCTCTAATCCATTTTTTCCTCCCAAGAAGCCGCCTAGTTTGATGTACCTCATGCTTAACGTCCTCTATATCTGACTGAAAGGTTCTGCCAAATGAAAACAGGGGCTCTTCTTTCAAAAATGTTTTGGGGTCAAGCGACTGCACTTAGCTTTATTTTTTTTATTTTTTGTGTGTGAAAAAACGCCTCTCTAATTCTGCCAATAGTCAATCCTGCACCTGTCTGCGACACCCTCTCATTTTCTGAAACTGAATTATATAAGCTATATTTTAATACAACACAACAAATTCCTCATCATCTCAAAACATACAGCCTCCGAGTCAGACCTTCAGACTTTCATCAGCCTGATCTATAGGCCTTTTCTTGACAAAAAAGACGCAATGTCTCCTCCTTTTCTTTTAATGTTTACACTAAAGGGAAGAGGGCGATGATACGATGGGCAATTAATAATGGAGAATACACACGCATGCACACCCGCACGCACACACACGCACACAGGCACGCAGACACACACTGGCACGCAGACACACGCACACAGGCACGCAGACACACACACACACACACACACACTAAAAGTACTACAAACTAAACAAGTAATGCGCTGCAGTACGTGTGTCTATACTTTGTGTCAAATGTAAACGGTTGGCTCTGCGTCTTACCTTACCTCTTTGTTTTCTTCACGACTTGGACACATGTGAGTCCAACAACCCAAAGAATTAGCATACAGCACTGGCTCCACACGGAGTCAGGGTGCGTTCACAGACGGGGAAAACCTTGGGAATTTTTGTTTTTGGTGGAAAAAGTGCGGAAGATTTTCAAGATTAACATTATTACATTGCCGTCTTCCGAGGGGGGCACTGGGGGTGGCAAGGCTATCTTCAGAGGTGACAGTGGCCACCCTGGCTACTCCTCTGGCTCCGCAACTGGTGTTGCTCTTTCTTTCCATTCCATTCCATCTTCTTCCGCTTCATCCGTTGCCGGGTCGCGGGGGCACCAGTCTAAGCAGAGACGCCCAGACTTCCCTATCCACACACACTACTTAGTTTTGCCCTCTTGATTCAAAAAGTCAACATGACCCAAGACTTATTTTTTACCCTGCTGCCGTGGCAACGACAAACACTCCCCATTCTGTGTCAATGGCAAATGTACACCTCGCACAAACATCAAACCAACCTCGGCCGTTTAACCAATTTGGCTACAAATTGCTCCACATCATCTCAACACATGTACCATCAGTAGTTGTTCGTAAAATTTTGATTAGTGACATGGTCATCCAATGGAGAATGTATATATATATATATATATATATATATATATATACATGGACTAGGGCTGTCAAAATTATCGCGTTAACGCACGTTAATAAAAAAGTTTCATTAATCGCGTTTAAAAAATTAACGCATTTGACGCATGCCCATGCGCGTGTGTAAGATGGGGACAGAGCAGGTAGGCCCTCTGGGAATTCATGTTTCTAAAGAATACACGCGTGACCGCGGGGCACTTGTTGTTTCCTGTATGAACTCTGCATGATGAGCTGCGGCGCGACAGCGCTCTGGACAGCAGTTCCCACCTCCAGCGGCTGTGATCACGGCGAATAGCGCTGCGTAATGGGATCATATCCAAGACCACGCATAGAACTATTACAGAACTATTCTCTAGTGTGCGTACGTGTCTTTGCGTAACCGATGCACACAATATGTACAGCGCTGAAGCTGGACTGCGGAGCCTCAGTCTCCTCCGTGTCTTCTCCCGAAGCGCACTCACTAAATTAAAGCTGAGGTACCTAATTTTCCTTTCGACTACCAGTTCATGTTAGTTGTGCCAAAAAAAGTAATGGTGTGAGCAAATCAAACAGATTTAATGACATTCTGCATTTCAGACTATTTTGAAATGTCCCTCATCTGTAACAAACAATGGTTTTGGTCTGAGTCTAAACAGAAAGACAGAATGTTAATAATGTTAATTACAAACAAATACAAAAACAAACAAATATAGTACATATGTTCACTAAGCTGTCATTTATCTATCCATTCAAACAACAATTTACAGAAAAATATGGCATAATTTTGCCAATAGTTTGAAATTCAATTAATTCCGATTAATTCAGTTTTAAGCTGTAATTAACTCGATTAAAAATGTTTATCGTTTGACAGCCCTAATATGGACACACTCACAGATTATACATGTGCTCCTGTTTACACATATAAAGTCTTATTTGTACTACACTTGACTCGGTTGTTTAACTCTTCGGCCTAGGTCACCTGAAGGTGTGAAATATTAATTCGGCTTTTTAACACCCCCTGCAGACTGAGCCAGTTGGTTTGGGATTCGAACCAACTGATCATATTCATCACAATTTTGCGAACATTGTTCTTTGGCTACGGGAGCAAATAATGGCGCGGCAGCGCTCCCTCCTTAGCGCGGTGCGGCAAGGGCCGTTCGCTGCCGCTTGCGGCTTTAATTTCTTTCTTTCTTACTTTTTTCTTCTGCTCTTTGACCCTTAATAGGACCACCTGAACATGAATGAAAAAAAGTTTATTTTGTTAAATATATGTGATTACCCATACAGGACAGGGACTAAATATGTATGGTCTGTTTTTATTTTATAGAATAATATTTGAAAAAAAAATGCAGTTGGACGGTGATTTTGGCCGTCATATCATTGACCCATGAACAGACTTTATAGCCAATGAACATTTTCAGCTCCTGTCCATGGTTGAGCTTTTCCCTGCAGTGCAACCATACTGTACAGTGCAACACATAAAACTTTGCAACATTATAAAACTACTACATCTTGTCGGTTAAAAGCAGCCTATATCAACATTATAAAACAATTACATTTCAATGGTGCCGATCAGACTATGCCAAGATTATTTATTGGTAAGCATGTGATTAACCAGTTACATGTAAGAAATATCTAATAAATATTAGCTTAACAGAAAAGATCCATATCCCTTAAGACAGCCATTCCCAAACTCAGTAACACCGAGGCCCCCTTAAAAATCTGACGGGTCTGCGTGGCCCCCCAAAATAATAAACAAGAAGACAACATTAAGAATAGGCTCTTCTGGTTATTTTATTTTGGGGAAATAGCCTCTGCTACAAACATTGTAATACAAAAATGATTACAGTGAATTATTCAAGTCAAATAATGAACACAAATATTGTAATATTACAAACAAAACATTATAAATTTAACATTAAATAATTATATTATTATTTTTTTTTTTTTATGACCTCCCGCGGCCCCCCTGCAGTACCCTCGCGGCCCACCAGGGGGCCGCGGACCCCACTTTGGGAGACACTGCCTTAAGATATACAACTCTAGTATTTCATTTGTGAGGCGTTGAAGCAAAATCTCTGCTGAAAAAATAATTATGTTATTACAAGAATTGCTTTATATCTAGCAATTCATTTCAATGTATTATTGTATAGCCAACACAGTCAGTCACAATCAGTTCAAACACAAGAGATGCACTCATATAACTCATTGGTATTGGTCCATAAGGGGCAGATGACCAATGTCCATAAACGTATATGGCCGTTATATCCAGATGATCAACTAAGGATTTCACTGTCTTTCCTCAAGGCCATTACTAATGACATTGTAAGATTATAGGATTTTACATTTGTTAACTGCTTAACGATTTTGCACGCTGTTGTTCGTTGAATTTACAGTATTGCTTTCCCTGCATGTGGTTGTCTGATGAATGAAAGGAGCTCACCCTATTTATAGAGGCGGGAGAACTGTAAATCAAAATAATATTGCTTTCACAAATAACACTTAAATGCCATCCTCATGAATCATTATGACGGCTTGCAATATTCTCTTAAAATGAGCTTGAGTGACCATTTTCAGGCCTAATGTAGATTGGACAAAGGACTGAACATGTATACATTACTGAGCGTACAAAAGCCTCTACCATAATGATTTTTAGACAGTTTAAACCTGTTATCAAACTACAACAATGGGGATGTCTTGGATTATAGTGTTTAACGCGAGATTTGAGAGGCACAGGTGCGCTATTCGGATTTGGATGCTATCATTGGCCTCGTTCAAAGGCAGTCAGAGGAAATCGTTGTATATGCGAACTTAAACCCGATGTAGGGTTTTAAATGACTTGTTTCAAAGAATACGATAGAAAATATCTATCATGGGAATTTTAAGGCAACATTTTTAGCTTTTATCTCGTTAACCCCATTGTTCACAGCATTTGCTTATTAGCAAGGGTGATTCAGCTTGAAAGTGTCATGCGCCACTCGCCATCGCTGTTATTAATGGAATTAAGAGAATTTGTGGATTTTACGTGGAGCACGTGAAAGCAGCGAGGCATGGGGCGAGGGAGGGAGGGAGATCAGTTCATCTGCTGATTTTTCTTCCCCGTTTTGCAAGCTCTGCCTCCCTCTGGCGTGTCACTGGAGAGGAAAAAGAGGAAGGAATATGGTCACATCGGACGCTCCTCTCGCGTAAACTGCACTGCTACTGCTGCGCCTCCCGAACACCCACTTCCAACCACAGTGCCTCAACTAACCCTCCAGCCTGCAAGACCTTGACATAGAGACATAAATGGGTAAGTCGCGATATTTCATAGTTTCTGTTTTTGCTTTTCCGTTGGTTGAATTGCCACCGCTATCCAGATGCGCGCTCCCATCCCATCCTACCATGTACAGCTCCACACCTTCTCCCATAGCTTCTCTGCCTCCCCTTGCGTTGCAGGCAGCAGTTAACACATGCATATTTCGTGGCGAGATAGCAGTGCATGTAGTCGAGTATACGTGTATTCGAGTAAGGCTTGCATGCGAGCGGTTTTACATGTTGATGAGTTGCAGATGGTGACACGTTTGCATTGTGGTTGGGTGTCTGTTTGCGGTCTACAATAGCAAAAGGCATGGCTGACCCGAGTGCTGTGTGTGTGTGTGTGTGTGTGTGTGTGTGTGTGTTTACAGCGTGAACAGCGTGAAAAAAAGCAACGGTATGTCTCTTCACGAAGCCATTGTCAAACTTTGCAATGGACGTGGTAGAGCATGACAGAAAGATCAAGCTAAAATGAGATATACTGTACTTTTACAGCCTACACACAAGACGTATCCAAGGTCTATAAAGAACAACCACAGTGCTGTATAATGGAAAATATACTACGGAAATCAGAAATTCCTGATCAAAAGCAGCTGTAATTGAAAGAGTAAACTAAATGTTTATACTTTACAAGATGTATTATGCAATTCTATGCATATGTTTATTCTATAGTCCAGTGATGGGTCAATGTTGATATATCGATTATTGAGACCAAAATGATTACGATTAATGATATTATTGTATATCACAACATCCGTATTGACCCGTTTGGTCACAGGTTTAATGTGGTTGCAGATTTGCCGTTGTGAATACACCCCTAAAGTAATCTTTTTGATTGTCGTTGTAAGTAACAAGAAGTCACAAAGTAATAATAAAGGAAATAAAATATAGAATAGAATTATATCTCAAATCTATATAAATACACACACTAGACATTTAACTCTACAGATTATCAGTGTACATAGGTTTGATATTATCAGGTGGCAGAAGTATAAAGTGACAGAAGTGTAAAGTGAGTATTGTGACAGGAGCCGGGATCTACTGATGAATTATGAAGTGTTCATGAGTGCAACTGTAAGAAGGGGGAAGAAACTGTTCTTATGACAGGAGGTTCTGGTCTGGATGGACCATAGTCTCTTGTCTGAGTGGAGTGGATCGGACAGTCTGTGTGCTGGGTGAGAAGGGTCAGCTGTGATCCGACCAGCCGCCCTCGAGTTCAGGCGTTAAAGTTGGTGTTAGACTTGGTTATATAAGTTCTACAAACTGAAACATTCATTGTAAATCATCTACATGTAGAGAAGCAGATCAAAATTAGGAAGGCATTGATTGTGATATTTTGGACCTATACCTATGTTTAACATAAGATTTTGGCCAATGGCCGATGTTTGGCCAATGTTTTTTTCTTTTTGTTATTTATATGTATATATTTCTTGGCGGCTTCAGTTTTCAGTTTTTCTTCAGCTTGCACGCAATTGCTGTACACCGCCTCATGATTCTCAAATATCCAAATGATCCGAAATATTTTTTTCTGAGAGTAAAATATTGCCACACGACCGCCGCCATCTTCTTTTTTCCTTCTACTGAGGAAAGTGCACGGACACCCTCCACCGGTATCTCTTTGCGCGCCATCGGCAATGTAATTTTTATTGGCCAATACCAATGTTCAACCGATGCATTGGTGCATCCCTAATGAAAATATACATGTATTATGCACAATCAGATATTCAACCTCAACCTTAGCCTTGATTTCAAATTGTGAAAATACAATTTAAACTTTACCTCAGTTTCAACACAGCTGACTATTTTGGTAGCATATAAAAATGATTGTCCTTCCGTGGTCTATAAACATGTATTTGTCTCACTTTGAAAAGAATGTAATGCTTATAAGCCACACTGGAAAATGTGGTTGTTTATAAGCAGTTTATTGGTTGTCACATGGACTCAAGCATTCCTCTGGATCAGCTTAAGCCTGGGAACAGAGGCTGGACAATCAATTAGCTTTGGTGGTGTTAATGTTTAGCTCAAACAGTATGCCCATTGAGCCACATACAAGATATTTGAACTCTTTCTCATTGAAAATAAGGAAGTATGTATAAGGATGTGTTGTCACCACTTTAAACATGCAACAGTCCCTATATCTTATAATGGTGGTTGTTCCTAAGATGCAAGATATAAACATGTTCAGCTTTGTATGTGTTGTCACGACATCACACCAGGACCTGTATAAATCAGGATGCGACCGGAAAATTGTCCTCTGATTTTGTCCCATCTGTCGGTCTGTCTGCATGGGACCACCTGGCTCTATCTCACTTTGGTCAGGAGTGCTGCAAACACAAACAACATGGTGTTAGATATTTGTGGGGAAAAAAGTAATAATATGTTTTATTTAATTTAAATTAGAGAAAAAATATACCCGTAGATCTTCATAAGAGACACAGGACTATCAAAATCAATAATAAATAAATAAACTAAAAGAAAAATGTATAAGAATTGTTTTGTGGGAAGCCAGGTTGATTCAGGAGCTCATTTAAGTTTCTGCTACTTTGGCGCCTCAAGGGTTAAGTGGCCTCTCTAGTTGTATTTAGGAACTTCCTTTATTCATAGTGGTGTTTTTGTAACATTCAGTGGTCTATGTATGTCTATACTTCCTCGTCATAGTGATATTGGAATATTTGGTGCATATGGGCAAGATTGAAAACTAGGGAGTATGGTACTGATACTGTGTTCAATATTGGGCCAATCCAATGATATTGATTAGGCGGAGATCCTAATTGGGCCTTTCATCTGTTGCAACTATTTGCCATCTGATATTAACACAGACTTTTACTCACACAAAGTTGCTATTTATTTCTTTACAAGATAAATAACAATGAATAACACATGTAGACCCAGTGGGCTGAAAGTCTGAAGAAGCAGGGGGTCTGAGGGCTGTATTTTGCTAAGTCACATCATTAGTTTCAATATGAAATGCTTATATGTGCAGTGTCTGGTTGGTTTCATATCATATTGGTTCATATTCATATTGGTTTCAGAAAGCCAAGAAAGCCAGTATGCTGTATCGGGTATTAAGAGGTTGGAATAAGCGGCTGCTTATTTTCCTTATCCTGTTTTTTGGTGTATTAAAAAAAAAACTACAAGAGAAAGCAGGATCCCTATTGTTACTTTATTATAGGTTGACCAATGTGTTTTTGCAGGGCAGATACCAATGCGATAAATACCAGTTGTAGTCAAGAAAGTTGATGACAAGTATATACACAACCAATTGCCTTGAAAATAAAGGTCAAGGCCATCAGGAAGTCCAGCTCAGTCCTGGGCTGTTCCCTGGACACAGTGCAGCAGGTGGGGGACAGGAGGGTCCTGGACAAACTAACATCTATGCTGGACCATGACTGTCACCCCCTGCAGGACACTCTCTCTGCTCTGGAGTGACATGACTAATTCACCCTTGCTGTGTGAAGGAGAGGTTCCGTAGGTCTTTCCTTCCTGCTGCTGTCAGACTGTACAATAAGAACTGCTGAGCCTGTAAATTTCATTCATCTGTAAATAAGTAAATTCTTAAATCATGTGCAATGTGCAATACTGCAACTTCAGAATGTCACAGAACAATGTCACTTTACTTACCTACTTATTATCCTGCACTATATGTACAGTACATAACTCTGCACTACTAAATGTATATATTTGTTGACTGGTATTGAAGCATTTCCAGCATCTACAGCCAGTTATGCTAGTTAAGAAACATAGCTACTACGTATTTTGTATATATTGTGTGATCCCTGTGTGCTCTTCCTACTGTCCTGTATGTGCGCTGCAACAACGAAATTTTCCCACTGTGGGACGAATAAAGGAACTCTTATCTTATCTTATAAAATACTAGTTTGAACATTTTGAAAAATACAAACTTCAATAATTGCGCTCTGAACGCATACATCCCAATATAGACTGGGTGTGATGTAACAGCAGAGTTGCCTGATAAATCTGGTCTTTAATCACCAAATAACCTGTATTTATGAAATTAAGCTTATTATAATTATTGAGATTCAAACTATGGCATGGTCAAAGCAAAAGCCATTACTGCTACATAAAATTGCTCATTACACCATAACATCTGTAATGCAATTTAAATGCATGAAGCCCTCCTGGCGTTTGTGCGACATCTTGGATTATCCTGTGTATACGTATGAAGGCCCAAAATGCAGTGAATGGTGTGATAGTGGAGTCGATAAAATGTTGAAAGAATTTTATTGTTTGGTTTCAACATAGTGCAATAACTTAGGTAGGCTCACAATGGATTATAAAATGTATATATTTATTGTTCTTAATATTCTTTATGAATCTATTTTTGTAGTATCTATTGCTCATTGACTGTTACTCACAACATAAATACATTTAGTAGATTCTTTTCCCTTGGTCTAATGCTGCCACTTCACAAAGAATCAAGGCAATTGATCAATCAAGGCAAAACAGCAAGAAGGTCCTGGGTTCGAATCCCGGTCGGACCAGGGCCTTTCTGAGTGCAGTTTGCATGTTCTCCCCAAGTCTGCGTAGGTTTCCTCCGGGTACTCCGGTTTCCCCTACCACTAAAAATATGTACAATAGGTCTGGCATGCGCCTCCTGTTCAGCGACCCCGCTTCCATCTCTGTGTGCCCAAAAATAACAATTGTAAACCGCTTTGTGACTCTGGTCTGTGAAAGGCGGTATATAAATAAAGATTACTTACTTACTTACTTATAGAAACCAATGTGTTTACAGAAAGTTAGTTCATTTAAAGAAGTTTCATTATGCATTGACAATACTTCCTCAAAATGGCTGTTGGTTTCTGAATGAATGTAGATTGGAGGTATGTTCCTTGTTCTGTGGGAGGTGTGTGAATGCTTGATGAGAGGAGCAGGGACATGACAAGAGTGGGTGGGTTTGATTCCCAGTGGGCTGCGATCCAACGCCAAAGCTTCATCCAGAAACACAGCTGTGTAAGATCCTCAGAATGTCTGTGA